ATATGTGGATATTTTTGATATGAATGGCTGCCAGAACTGTGTTACCTATCAAGGACTGAAAAAAAAAAAGAGTAATACACTTAATCTTTCCCTTCAATGATAAAGGAGAGTGAGAAAGAAACTGCTTAAAACACACACAAATAAAAAACAACAAACCCAAACTACCTACTATTGAGACAGCATTTTGGAAACGTATGTCTGGAAATGTTATAATTGTTATGCAGTTCTTTTAGCTAAATACCACACATCTCCTATAAAAAGTCTCGTATCTGCAATTGGGCCTCCTCTTCCACCACACAACAGTTCTAACCTCATGTCAACTGTATGTGAACTCTCTCAAGTATTTAGAGGTAAGAAAACAACTATATGACTACAACTCAAGTTTAATCAATGCTAATTGATAATATAGGGTTGCCAGATAAAATACATGAAGCAGTTATATATTTCAGATAAATTACAAATAACTTTTTCCTGGCCTATGTTCCATACTTCATTGTTTATTTGAAAGTCAATTTTATTTGGATGTCCTATCTTTTTATTTGCTAAATCTGGCAACCCAACACATGTAAAGATATGTGTACTAAGTAGAATGTGACTAACATAGATAAACGGGGTTCAAAGAAGGAAACTGGGCTCTGAACAAATGCACTCAAGCCACTGAGAAAGTCTACTTCACTACCAAATAGGAAGCCAGGGGCCAACACCATATAACACACTTTGCTATAAGTGTCCATGGAACAAACTAGCTGGGGTCAACATTAATGCCAGCCTTCAATTAATTTAGGAATATGGGCTCGCCCTTTGTGTCATCAGAGCTCTGCCATTCTAGCAAGCCATTCTGGTTACTCAGGGTGCAATCATAAAGCCAATCTAGTCTTTTTTTTTTTTTTTTATTTGATGGAAGATGGCCATACCTTGGATGGTTCCACTTATTTGGGTTCCTCCCAAAGGAAGTTGCTCCTACTGGACCAATACCTAATTAATATACTGTAAAACATCAGCTGATATATTGCAGTGTCAGGTCCCATAGCTGATACCATAGAGGGGTAATATTAGGCATGGGCTTAGCAAAGTTAACCCAAATATAATTATTTTCCCTCAAGTAAGAAGTTAGTATCACCTTCTTAATTTATTAACTTCAATGCTCATCTTAAGACTGTTTCAAGTAATCTAATTTGATACACCAGCTCGGTTTCTGTGTATACTAGGAACTCAGTTTTAATTTTGTTAGGCTGGCCAGTGACCTGATTTTCCTTCTGGATTACTAGGTATATAGGGCCTAACTTCCCAAATGATCCTAGGAATTTTCATATCATGTGTCTGAATCATCTGTCTTCTCGAATAAACTGCTCAAATTCCAATTAACTTACTATGAATGACCCAACCCAAAACTGCTAGTAATATTTTTAACTGACGCTACACTGTTTAGAAGCAACAACCCAGATGTTGTCCTGCTGCTACATTATTTTAAATTATCACTTTTTAAAAAAATCAGGTATTCACTTCTTGCATTTTATTGAGAAAAGCTGGTCATAGTTCTTCCATATCACAGGAGGTGGATAGCCAGCAAGTGTCAAGTCATTGTGATATCCCCATCCTTTCCATTTTCTTGATGTCACTTCCAAACAGTATATCATCTTACCACTGCCACCAATTGAAAGGAAGAGCTTGGCAGATTGTATACAATTGTCAGACTCAGGGGCTGGCTGGTTAGCTCAGTGGGTTAGAGCATGGTGCCGATAACACTAAAGTCCAGTGTTTCATCCCTGAACCAGCCAGCCACCAAAAAAAAAAAAAAAAAAAAAAAAAAAAAAATCAGATTCAAATATATGGCCATTAACTAAACTTTGTTTAAAATTGCCAGATACATCATAGCAACTTTCCTTTTTTTTTTTTTCCTTGTCCTTTTTGAGACCGGCCGCACCACGCTCAGCCAGTGAGCCCTGTGAGCGCACAGGTCATCCCTATATAGGATCCGAACCCGCGGCGGGAGCGCTGCTGTGCTCCCAGCGCTGCACTCTCCCGAGTGCTGCACTCTCCCGAGTGCGCCACGGGCTCGGCCCGCAACTTTCCTTTTGACAAAAGCAAGCGGACACAGAATAAATACCTGGTGGTTGGTGCCAGCTAGTGTAGTTCCCTCAGTCCAATGGATATTGCTCATTGGTGGATTAATATGCCATCAGCTTGCAGAGTGGTCTCATGAAGTCTGAGATGTTATCCAGACTTTCTGGGCTTTTCTGTATAACCTAGCCATCTGAGCAGTCCGAATCTTTGTGTGCCACTGCCTTGTAAATTTTGCATATACATTAAATATGTATATTAAGTACATATATATATTTTGTCTATTACCTTGGTTGACTACCCCTTGTGGGGCTTAATTGTTGGAGTGTGCCCTCCACATGAATCTTCACTACACTTGAATGGCTGCTCCTTTCAATTCTTTTATGTGATCCTCCACTATAAGCAATTTTCAAGTATTTGAGGGAACATTATATGGATTAGGGTTTAGGCTTATTTAATGTGACCCTAGAGAGCAGAAATGGCTTGGGGTAATGTATATTGGCTCATATATTTTAAAACTATATTTTATTTCCTATGTGTGGCATCATACTTAATTTACATTCCCAGTGTCTGAACTATAGTAGGCACTCCTCCATAATATTATTGGATTAATGACTAGATTTCTAATAGATATTTAAAATTAATGGGCCTCTCCAAAGGTCATTGAGTTCTCTATCATTAGAGCCAAAAGTAGAAAGCCATTTATTAGAGTTGTAAGACAATTTATGCATCAGTAAGAAAATAACCCAACTGATTTCTAAGGTCTCTAACTGCTTTAACAATCTACTCTAATATCAAAACATTGTCTTCATCATAGAGAAATCTTTTAGATGGATAGATGTGATAAGACCCCCTGCATGAAAATCCTCTAGTGGGGACCTGTCATCTGCTCTCTTCCTGCCATGTATGGATTTTCTTTTTCTTAAGAAGCAGATAGGATTAAAAGACATGATTATGGTCTTCTAGGCTCAAGGTTTCTGGACTGCTTTAACAAAAAAGAGTGTCTATCTGCACGGACAGAGAAAAACACCTTTAAAGAACTTGTTAATGTCCACTGGTTTAGAAATCCTGTTTCTTTACTTCCTTGATAAATATTCCTATACAGGATAAATTCATCTCTCTGCATCCTAACTGTAGTAACTGCACTTAACCAGAGAGTGCAAAAGTGGTAAATTCACCCTCAACCTCATTTCTAAGGTACAGAAAAATAAGTACAGGTTTAAAGGCTTCTTCAGGTACCCATCATTTTGTGCAACCTGGGAATACTTAAAATATATAAACAAATAGGTTCAAATTTGGATCTTGACTGTATATCAGACATTTTCCTCTTCAAGTGTGTTTCTTCTCTGCAAATGCTAAGTCACCACCTCCTATCAGAGATACTACATAGATATAGACAATACACCTATTAACCATATTAAATACTTACTGAATGTTTACTATGCCTCAAGCAAAGCACGATCTATTTCATTGTTGAGGACAAATGACCAAACTCTGTTCAGCATATACAAAGCTATTGGTTTATTCAGCTGCCAAGCTGGGAAAAGGCTTCCTTTCAGAGTTAATAGCAAAAATGCATTCATGAGCAAGGCACTTTTACTTACGCACACACACGCGTGCTCATGCGCGCGCACACACACACACACACACACAGAGGAACATATTACAGAAACTTAAACATCAACATATTTTAATTTTCAGACTTCTTCCTTACTCATCCCGCCTTTAAAAAAAAAAAGGAAACAGGTTCTAGTAACATTTTAAAAACCAATTTCACAGAAAATCTACATAGGAACAGTTTGATACATTTAGTTACACTAACAGTATGATACGGTTTCAGGTCAATAATTTCCACTAACAAATACTTTTTTCTACCTACTACAATCCCTCCTTTTTCCTTAAGATGGGACAACTAAGGCCCAGCAGAAATACTCATTAGGTTATAAACATTCTTTTGTCTCCTTAAAGTTGCTATACGTTTACAGAATTTGTGATTCCATTACTGCTTCAATTTTTTGATGCCACATTATATACAGCACTTAATTAAGGAGAATAGAAAAAAGCAAAACTAAAATAGGAGAATAGAAAAAAGCAAAACTAAAATAGGATACACTTTTAACAATCTGTTTACAATCCATTTTCTGATTCCATTTAGATTTCTAGTCAACCAGGACCACACACAGGTTTCACTCTTTATTGCAGGGTATATGAAAAGATTTAATGGTCTCACGCATTTTATTTTATGTATGTTGATTTCTATGTTTTGACTCATTTAAATAAACACAACACAACTCCTTTAAAAGGGCACATACTCTTCCTTGTTTAGCCAGAAGAAAATCTAAAGCTAATCTACTTAGAAAAACAGTGCTGCTAAAACTCTTAACTTCAGATTGTATTAGGCTGGGATTTTCTATAGAAAGTTTCTTTAAAATTAGAAGGGTTCCTGAAAAGTTTGCAATGGATATGGAAAGTGCATAAACTTCTACCCCAGAAAATGGTATACAGATGAAATACTTTAATCCATCAGCAGTTAATACCGAAAGAATGAATGCTCTCTTAATCCTTTCCCATTCATCTTTTGGAATGTATTTTATTTGCTGTTGATAAAAGTCTGATTATATTCAAGAAACATATTCCCTACAGAACAGGTGTTAATCCCAAGGGATGACATTACTGGCCAAATTAGCCAGAGAGAGACTGGTGGGTGTCTAAACAGAATGTTCATGCTGTAATTGCAGGTACCATAATAGGTTTGGAGTAGTGTAGGCTAGGTTTGAAACTACAAACTCTCATCTCCAAACAAAAGATAAGAACCCCTAAAGGGTGCCTATTTATATAAATACGTAAGCATATTTATATAAAAGCTGGGAGAGAAATCCATATCCCCATTAGTTTCCTTTAGTGTAGTTATTCAATTTACCTCAACTTCCTCCCTAGAAAAGAATGTCAGAGAAGAGTAAGCTGAGAAAGGTATTGGGGGTAGCCAACTTCTTGCTCTCCACATGGCTATTCTGAGTGTTAGGTAACAAAATGGGTGGTGGTCTACTTTTTACTTCCCATTAAAAATCAGTTGTCTAGTTAAAGTCTCTTCAGATAAACAGAGTGAACTGGGGGTTGGGGGAGTGGCAGGAGAGAACTGAATGTGGAGAATATTCAACTTATCTTTTGTAATATGGTTTCTTTTGGCTAATTTTCCATTGAAATTTTCATTTTATCTACAGAGTTTGTCAAAGGGTATGTGCACAATACACATTTTCTGTAGCAGAGTTATAGGACCCGTGGGTATATATTTGGTGCTTGATAGTACTTTGGCTTGCCAGGGCATGGCACAGATTGGTTGAGAAGACAATAGTTTCTCAACTGTGGGCTGTGTAATGATTAAATCTGTACTGCTTTCTCAATTAGAAACATCACAAATATGAGAGCAAATGGTGGAAATTTATAGTGATGCAGTTAGGAGTTTGTTAACTGCCTTTTGGAAGTCCGTGTAGGAGTAAGTAGTGTTGATGGGTTCAGTGCGGGTTGTTTCCTTAACTGTTTTAGTTAGCCAGCCACAGCAACAACCAGAAACACACGAATTAGGGATCTGTTTTAGGTATTCAGGTATGGGAGTGGCTCTACTCAATGTTCGGCTTAACTGTTTGGTGGCAAATTGCAGTGCTCCATTTAGAGTGGCATGATCTCGAGAGAGCCGGCTGGGACTTGTAAGGGGCTTTTGAAAAGGTGGGACTCCACAAGAGGCCAGAGGGGGCCATTCAGGAATTGGTTCCAGTTTGGGGACACAATGGGAGCAATGGGAGAGTCTTAGACCTATCTCTCGAAGTATATGGACAGGTGTGCTTGGATCTAAGAGTTTAGCATGATATAACCAGGAATTAGGATTTAAAGGTTTCCAGGTTGTAGAATATTTTAAAAGGCACTTAACCTGCCAGGCAAGACTCTCAAGAGGTGTTAAGTTGGGCACCATGGGGTCCTCCTCTTCAGAGGAATCCCACTCTTCCCCAGAACTCTCATTTAGGTAGCTAGTGTTTTCTTCTTCCTCACTTTCTGATTCTGATAAGGGGTCAGGAGAGGGATTTCTGGGACCCATTAGAATAAAACAGAGTAAGGAACCAGAAAAAGGTAACAATCTAAGCCAGCAGAACACTGACTAACATTGGCGAATAGCAACAAGAGACGAAAAATCCTTTCACCAAGATTAATTTGTCTGTCTCAGTCCACTACACACACAAAGTATACTCTGGCCCACACCACTGTGCAGTTCTTCAAGATTATGCTGTATATTCTTCACTTACAAAGAAGACGTTTCAGTTCTCAGGACCAGTTCAGTGTGTAAAAGTGTTAGTCACTTACCAGTGGCACAGGTCACAGAGTATCTCCTTCAAATCCTGGCTACCCAAGAAGAGAAGGGGTCCTCATTTAGGTAAGCTGATTTTCTTAGCATGGTCTCAACTGGTAGTGATATTGTGAAGAGAGACTTTGTGCAGTCTTTTTTGTTGGCAGTGATATTATATCTACTTGGTAATGGAAAGAAGCTCAGTAGTTGCCTTGGCTGTCTGCTGGTGCAGCAACTTTTATGCAGGGGGATGATGAGATGAGCTGTCAAGGACATCTGGTGTGCAAGAATCTGATGTTTTCCATAGGTGATGCAAATGTCCTTGGAAACGTGAATTAGCTGCTGGACTTATCTGGAAAGGTAGTCTTAACCTGCGAATGAGAACACTAGAGACATGATATTAAAGCCTGAAAGCACTAGGTAACATTACTGTCCATCTAACTTTAGGGTATCCAAGAACATGGATGCTGAGTGGGAAGCCTTACAGACTTTCCTCTCTCTATCTCATAGACTCAGGCTGATTCTCCCATTGGGAGTGGCTCTTACAATCACAAAATCAGGAAGGAGAGTCCTGGTCATTTTAATCCATTGGTACATAATTGGGCCAGTTTGTTTCTTAGTAATCAGTTCTAGCCCAGAAAATTACTTCTGCGAAAGCATAAAGTATGCCCCTTATGCCCCAAACTCCAAATACAGAGCTATAAAAGGTATCTTTTTACCTTTAGATGTGCTTGTTGGAATTAGTTTGGGGGGGCCTTTTGTGGTGGTACAGCTGCTAGATGCTAGGACTCTTGCTGGGACCTCAGAGGTTGTGGTTGTATGACCAATTTTATATAAGCTGTTCCAGAAAAAAGAAAAAAGTATGAAAACTGACCAGCTCCTTTTATGAGGATAATAAAAAATGAATTCCAAATCTAGAGTCAAACCAAATAAAAAAAGTATAGTCTCATTTTATTTGCTAAAATTTTAAGTATTTCTTAACAGAATCCAACAGTACATTAAAGAAAAAAATAATATAATCACCTAGAGCTTATTCCAAGACAGCAAGAGTAGCCCAACTTCAGAAAATTTATAAAGTTACCAAAACTAAAGGGAAAATTTTTTTTTACCAACTGTGCATATTTAACCTTTCTTAGTTCCCGATCAACACCTATTTATGCTTTAAAAAATAAAACAAAAGACTCTTGCCAATCTAGAAAGTTTCTCAACTTGGTAAAGACTATCTACCAAAAACTTTAAGCAAATATTATCCTAAATGAGATTAGACATATTCCTTTTAAAAGTGAAATGAAGGATGACCATGATGACTGATAATATCCTAGTCAGTGTTATTAAAAAAAACAATAAATAACAGGTGAAATAATTGAAAGAGAAGAGGTGAACTATTAATTCACACATGATATGGTCATCTAATTAAAAAAAATAACATATAAACTATTAGAGCTAATAAAAGAGCTCAACAAGGTTCCTAGATCTGAGATTGACCCATGAATATTAATTTAATTACTTATAAAGCACCTATTATTTGCCAGGAACTGCACAAATGTTAACTTATTTAAAATTTTCCTAACAGAGCAGAACTGTGGTTACTAGAGGCAGGGAAGGGGAATGGGAAGAGGGACAGTGAGAGGTTGGTTAATGGACACAAAATAGCTAGATAGGAAAAATAAGTTCTATTGGTGTACAGTTGAGATAGACATCTATAATTAAAGATAATTTACTGCATGTTATCATATTGCTAGAAGAAATCAAATGTCCTCATCACTGAGAAATGACTAAGTTTTACAATGAGGAATATGTTAATTACCCTCATTTGATCATCATGCATTATATACATGTATTGAAATATCACTCTGTACCCCACAAACATGTATAATCAATGTTTCTCAACAAAAATAAATAAAATTCTCCTAACAACCCTACAAGGTAGTACTTTTATTGTCCTCATCTTACACATGAGGATTAAGTTACCTGACCAAGGTCATATATCTAAGTAAATGATAGAGCAAGGATTTGAACCCAGGCACTCTTAACTTCTACATCAGCAGCACAAACTAGAAAATATATTACATAAGTACATTTTACAAGAGGAAAAACAAAAAAACCCCAAACCAATAAAGGATCTAGGAGTTAATCAGTAATACACAAGATCTAATAAACAACATCTGGGAACTAATCAATAATATACAAGATCTAATAAAAGACATGGAAGATAATTTAAAATAGAGATATTCCATGTTCTTGAATGGAACAAATGAATATTATAAAGAACATCAACTTTCTCCAAATTAATTTGTGCAATTCCAATCAAAGTTCTAAAAATGAACTTAAAGTTTATTTGGAAAGAATAAAATTCCACATATACTCAAACCAATTGTTTAAAACAGAGGAGTAAAGGGAGTCTTTGCCCTTCAAGATTTAGTACAAAAGTCACAGAAATTAAAATAGGGTGGAATTAGTATAAGGACAAATGGCTCAATAGAGCAGAACAGAGCTCAGAAACAGAGCCAAATATAATTTGAGAATGTATGATAAAATAAGGTTGCTACATAAATCAAGAGCGAATGGGTGCATTAAGTACTTAATATTGATACAACTGGCTCATTTCATCTAGAAAAATAAGACTGTATACCTATGTAATGCCACATATAAAGGAGGACTCATGATGGATTAAAGACCTAAATAGGGATGGTTAAACTATATAGTTAATCAAATATAACACAGGAGAATGTAACTTGATAAACAAAAAATCATAAAGCACAAGACCAAAAAATCATAAAGCACAAGACCAAAAAAATGATTCACATCAAAATGAATCATTTCTTGATTGAACTAAAGATATCCAGGACAAAGTTAACTACAAGTCAATATTTTTTTTAAAAGGTAGCAACTTCAATTAATAAATTGGCAAAGGACAAAAATATCCAATTTATAAAAGAGAAAATCCAGAAGCATTAACCATATGATCACATTATGGTATGAGTTTGGTAAAAATTAGAAAGTTGGATAATGTCAAGTGTTAGTGAGTTCCTTCAGGAACTGACCCTACTGGTGAGATTATATACTGGGATAATCAGTCTGAAGAGCAATCTGGCAGCACTACTTAGCCAAACTAAATATCTCATGATCCAGCAATTCTACTTCTGGGCCTATACAGCAAAGAAATTCTTCATTAAGACCAACATGTATGAGGATATACCCTGAAGCTTCATTTGTGATGACAGTTAGAAGCATCCTAGGCTTTTATCACCAGAGTGGACAGATAAAATGTAGTGGAAGCACATTAGAAATATATGAGCACACAGCAATACATACATGAATGGACTTTAAAGGCATAGCTCTAAATGAAAAAAGCAAGAAACAATATCAACATCTCATTTATGCCATTCTGTAGGGGTGATTTCCAAAATGAAAGTCGGTGAACACTTCCAGTTTCAAATACACTATGTTGCGCTAATAAAGTCATATAGTAGGCTGGCTGGTTAGCTCAGTTGGTTAGAGCAGGGTGTTGACAACACCAAAGTTCAGGGTTTGATCCCTGTTACCAGCCAGCTGCCAAAAAAAAATTTTGTTTAAATAAAAAAATTTTTCAAAAAGTCACATCGTCCATCTTCAAGTCAGTGATTTTCCTCTAATGAACATTTCTCTGGTTTCCACACATTCTTTTTTTTTTTTTTTTCCCTTTTTTTTGTCTTTTTTACTGACCGGTAACGGGATCGCAACCCTTGGTGTCGCATCCGTACCGGGGACTGGCAACAGGATCGCAACCCTCAGTGTTGCGCCCGTACCGGGGACCGGCAACGGGATCGCAACCCTCGGTGTTGCGCCCCTACCGGGGACCGGCAACCGGCAACGGGATCGCAACCCTCACTGTTGCGCCCGCACCGCGCTCAGCCAGTGAGTGGGAACCGGTCTCCACGTGGGATCCCAACCCTCGGCGGGAGCGCCGCCATGCTCCCAAGCGGCGCACTCTCCATTGTGCCACTGGGCCGGCCCCACACATTCTTTTTATCTATTTCAGTTCCTAACACAGTGTCTGGCATATATTAGTAGCTTGGTAAATGTATTGCAAAGAATTAATGAGAGAATGACAAAGGTCTGCAGTAAGTAACTACATAAACATGTTCTCTTTTACTCCAGGGAGAGAAAAATTCCCAAACCATAATATTTCCAAACTGGTAATATGTTGGACAAAGACAAGTAAAACAATTTCTAAAAGCAGGATAACCAAAGATGATGTTACTACAGCAATATAAATGAAAATGCTTATAACTTCATCCTTAAGAGGAAACATAAAGGTAAATACTTTCAAGTTTAGTTTACAATATTTTTACCTAGTTCAATCTGCAAACAATACTCAATCTTTGTCATGTACCGTAAGTCTTTACTTATTAAGACAGGAGAGTCTGTTGGTTTTTAATTGTTCTGTTCTCTTATATTTTTACTATTTTCATTTCAACCAAGCTCCACCTATAAGATTATTAATCAGTGACACTTCAGTTACTGTTACTCAAAGCATTCTTAAAAAGGTTCACTCTACTTTTTAATCAGCAATATGACAGAAAAAGTCTACTTGAAGGCTTATGTAATTCTAGATATATGACAATGAGCCCATCACTATTACTCCTTTACATTCCATGTACATAATTTTTACACATCAAAACTAACTATACCTACTCTATATACTTCTATGTATAATTTACCTTTAAAGAATTAGTTTCAAATTTGGAAAACTAAATAGCCTTACTATACATATTCTTCAGTCTTTGTCATTTCTTCAACTAAACTAATTTTAACAAGGACAGGAAGAGATTTATTCCCATAGTTGCTATTATTTGTTCTTTACCATAGCACTAAAGACAAGTTAAGAAACCTGTAAGGCAGTGAGACTATGATGTTTAAATTTAATCTAGCATCTTAAAAAATTTTTCACATTATAATGTTAAAAAAATACTGACCAAAAACATATGGCATTAATAATTTAAAAAAAAAAAAAAAAGCTAATAAAAATATAGTTAGGATGACCTCTGGTGGCCAGATGCCTCATCCTTCAGTAACAGACAAAATGGAACGAGGTTTATTGGTGGTCAGACAGCCAAATAAAATACAGGAAATAACATTATTAGAAACTTCACAAACAAAGCAACAAAGGTAACAAGCACCTAAAGCATAAAAAGAGCTGAGCAGCTAAAGTCCACAAAATTTTAAAAAAAGCCACCAAATATCAGTTCTAATTTTTAGTTTGCCAATTGACTACACATTTAAAAAAAAAAAGTATATGCAGTGATTCTCAAAGTATAGAACAGTTTTGCACTATCCAATACTGTAGCCACTAGCCCCCTGTACCTACTCTGTCCTTGAAATGTGGCTAGTGCAATACTCAATTTTGAAGACTTAGTAAGAAAAAAAAAAAAATGCAAATTATCTCATTAATAATTTATAGTGATTGCATGTTGAAATGATATTCTGAATACATATGGTAAAAAAAATTAATGCCCTTTCTAGGTTTCTCTTTCCTCCAGCTTTCCAAGCATTCTACATTTTAGTTATAGTGACATTATAAATGTTATCAGAATATCCCATGCGTTTTTAGACCTCTATGCTTTTGCTCTAGCTGGTTAACCTGGAATACCCTTCTTGTTTTTTAAAAAATTGGACATCTCGATATTTTCAAAATTATAGCCAACCCAAATACTATCACATTCACTACTTTAGCAATTGAATACCTACAGTTTCAGGAATTAGGGATATGAAGCAGGAGGACGGATGAATAATTATCATGTTCATACAATGGAATACCTACAACAACCTGTTAGTGCCTCAGCTGCCTCATCTTAAAAGATCAAAGTTACCTTACAGGGGTTGTTTGTAAGGACTAAATTTGGGAAGTAAAGTGTTTAAAACAGTGTTTGGTACATGGTAAGGGTCAATAAAGTGTAAATTACTATTATTAACACATCAATATAAATAAACCTCAAAAACAGTATATTGACTGAAAAAAGCCAAATTGCATGTGATTATCATATAGTGGCTAAACCATGCAGAACAGTACAATATACTCATTCAGGGATTTGTTCATAATGTCTTTAATATGTGAAAATATGCATAGTAAAACTTAACAATGAATTTAGAGAATCCATTACTTCTGGAGAGGGAAGGTAATTCAAAACCAGAAAGGCGTACCAGCAGCTTTGTTATGTTTTATTTCTTCTGCTGGCAGTGGGTACTGAGGTGTAGTGAAGGGGAAAATGGATTCCCTCCACCCTCCTAGTTTCTTTGGCTTGGATACAAATTAAGTCGACATAGATCAACAGGGAAAAAACTGTATTTAATTACGTACGCAAGGGAGTCCCACAAAGGTGAGATGAATGAAGCTTACATAAGACAGCATCATGAGTTACAGAAGGAATAGGGTCTTGGGGCTTGCTAGGGTGGGGTGGGGTTGGGTGGGGTGGTGGTGACACAAGTTATGGGAGGACAAGGGGAGGAAATTTACAGTGAATAAAGGCTATCTTGTTATGCAGTTGTCTCTCAGGTAATAAAAATGATCTCAGAGCAGCCCTCTTCCTGATACAGATACTTTACTAATGTACATTCCTTTTCAGAGCTAATGCTGTGTCTGCAGTTTCTCAGAAAAACCTACCAAAAGGAGTATATTTGGGGGTGGCATATTCTGGTCTCCTCCAGTCATATTTTGGAGAGGTGTGTCCTGACTCCAACAGAGATATTCGTTTTTGTCTGATATAATTACTTTTTTTTTTAAAGAAAAGGTTTAGAGATGTAGTTTCCTGCTCCTTATCTTAACCAATACTCTAACGACCTTTCCACACACTGCTTTCTCTTTTGTTTAATTCACTGTCGTTAATGCACGTTTGTAAACGACGCCTGGAACGGTGGCACATCCAGAACCAATCGCAGCTAAATTAATCCGTGCCTTCCGTCGCAGCGGTCCCCAGACCGCCTCCACCCCCTGCAGGACCTCCCAGACGGCCTTCACCAGGCCAGGAATGAAGCCGTAAAGAGACCGCAGCCCGACTCCACGTGGAGACCTGGAACGGCCCCCTCAGCCGACCCGGGAACGTTTCCCTTCTCAGCATAAGTCGGGCGGCGCGGCCCAGCCCTCCCGAACGTCTTATCTTTCTTTTCTCCATATCCCTCGAAACGTACCCCTCTTCTCGGCATCCCCCGCCCCGTTAGCCGGAGCGGCGATTGTTACCCTCAGCAATATCCCTGTTCTCTTCCAGGGAGGGTCTTTTCTTTTCTCTGGCCTCACGCCCAGCCGCACGACCCCACTCGGCCTAGCGCCACCAGCCCTTTCCCTACGGTCTCACAACCGCTCCTCCGCTCTGGGGCAGACGCCACTTCCGGCCGCGCCAAGGCCCCTCCTCTTAGAAACGCCACTTCCCACCAGGGAAACGGCCGCATAGACCCCGTGCGCATGTGCTCAAGCCGCGGGGTTTAAAGGGGGCGTGGACGCATCTCTTCCCGCTCTTGCCTCCCGGCGCTCTCGCGGAAATCTCGCGGTATTTGCTTCTCCCGCGGGAGTCGTTTGAACGCTCTGGCGGTAACCACGCCCTGTGCGCTCCGAGGCCGGCTCGGGGGAGTCTGAGGAGACTTTGGAGTAGTCCGTTAGGGGCGCTGGGATTGTCTGCATCCGAGCGCGGGCAGGGCTCGTCCCGGCGCCATGGGAGCGGAGAAGAGGCTGCTGCCCATTAAGGAGGCCGTTCGCCTGGCGCAGCAGCCGCACCAGAACCAGGCGAAGCTGGTGGTGGCGCTGAGCCGCACCTACGGCACGGTAAGCGCGGCCGGCCCCGCGGCCCCCGGCCTCGGCCGCCGCCCCTCGCCCTCCCTTGGCGCAGCCTCACCCAGAGGCCTCCCGTGGCCTCCGTGCTCGGCGCACCGCTATCCAACCTTGTTTACCTTCGCGAGCTGCTTCAGAGAGACCTGAGGTTCGGGGACTTCAGGCGACTTGCCCGAGGTCGCCCAGGCCCACGTCAGAATGACCCCGAAGCCCAGGCGCTGTTCCCACCGGGCCCAGCCTTTGCTTTTTGGCGTCTATACTCCTATCCCCTTTCCCTTCCGGAAGCCCCCGGGGCGACGCGGACGGTTAACCTTAGTCTGAACTTGGAGAGAGGCGTTTACGAGCACCGAGGCGACCATGCACCAAGTTTTGGGCCGCACTGTGGATCCTGAACGTGGTGGTTCAGTGGTGGTTGTCCCTCGGGTCACAGCAGAAAAGCCTACTGTCAAACTATCCTAACCTACTACCACGGTTAAATTGAATCCAGTAATGAAACGTCACATCGTTAGGACCTGGCTCTTCCCATTCCTGTAAATACTGTTTGAGTGGAGCGATGGGAAGAATAGGACGATAAATTTGGGGAGGAGAAATTATCTTGAGGTCCAAGAAAAATTGTAAGTAGAGATAACAGGGCTTTGAGGATATGAGATAGGATGTCAACGTTATATCAAAAAGAAATTGCTGTATGATAGAAAGGCCTAAAATGATAGTCAGTGTTGATTTTTGGGCAGTGTATGAAGAAGCATATTTTTGCTAAATTCATAGTAAAGCCATATCGAGAATTTAAGGGTTTTGAAAAAAAATCGAAAGAATCTTCATTCTCAGAATTCATGTTTGTGTACTCTCGGGGAGAAGCAAACTATAACCTGGAGAAAAGATTTTAGTTTGTATGAGTTATGGCTAATGAGTTCAGCAGCCTTAGGATAATGTTGGGAATGAAGGATTTTTATCAGTGCAGTTTATTAAAGGTTTCTTTTGTCTTTCAGATGGATGATAAAACAGTTTTTCATGAGGAGTTCGTTCATTACTTGAAATATGCTATGGTGGTCTATAAACGTGAACCAGCTGTGGAGAGGGTTATAGAATTTGCAGCAAAGTTTGTTACTTCCTTTCACCAATCACATATGGAAGATGATGAGGAAGAGGAAGATGGTGGCATTTTAAATTATCTGTTTACTTTTCTTTTAAAGGTACTATGATAACTAGCACTTTGGGGAAGCACTAAGAAAAATTTTGCCGTATTAAAAGGGCCACGGGAGTTTTAGACAATGAAATATCTGGTAATTGAGAAAATGTCTGTAAATGAGTATCTTTTTTTTTCTTCCTTTTAGTCTTTTTTTCATGACCGGTAACGGGATCGCAACCCTCGGTGTCGAGCCCGCACTGCGCTCAACCAGTGAGCGGACCGGTCTCTATATGGGATCCGAACCCTCGGCGGGAGCGCCACTGCACTCCCAAGCGCCACACTACCGAGTGCGCCACTGGGCCGGCCCTAAATGAGTATCTTTTATAGGAAATATAGAACTATCATTAAAATTAAAAGGTGGATGTTAAAAATAATTCAAGCATTAAATTTTTAATGATCTCTCTAAACCAGTTCTCACATGTTTGTTTTAAATGACTTCTCTGTTTTAGAAGTAAAGGAAGAGTTCCTACAAAAAGGAATATGCTCTTGTAACAGCGAATACTTCTTTCAGACTGTTTTTCAGACTGTTTTTTGAGACAGTATAAAGTATGTATTTAGTATGCATATAGTATGCAAGGTAGCATTATAGTTTCTTTGCAAGTAATGAATTACTGTTGTAACTTACTGAATTCTGAACATAGTTCAAATGGTACTGATTATTTAGGAATGGTATGTGACTATGAATAAATTTTGATTTGTTTCTGTTTTAGTCTCACGAAGCAAACAGCAATGCAGTGAGATTTAGAGTGTGCCAGCTCATAAACAAGCTTTTGGGAAGTATGCCAGAAAATGCCCAGATTGATGATGATTTGTTTGATAAAATTAATGAAGCCATGCTTATCAGACTGAAAGATAAGATTCCAAACGTGAGAATACAAGCAGTGCTGGCTCTTTCACGTCTTCAGGATCCCAAGGATGATGAATGTCCAGTGGCTAATGGTATGTGGAGCTACCTAAATATTTTTGTTTTATTAAATTGTCAGTAGTTCAAATTTTTTTATTCTGAGCTATATATATGGAAGAGTGTTATAATGTATATTTGATTCAAATAATAAAAATACTCAAGTAACAACCACTCAACTTAAAAAAATAGAACATCATTAGTACCTTTCAAGCCTGCCTTGTGTCCCATCCCAATTGCATCTCTCTCCTTAAGAGATAACTATTGTCCTGAATTTTGGGTTAATTATTCTCTCACTTTTTAAAAATTCTAGTTAAATAACTTAATTACGTGTCTGTCTTAATGTTGTTTTGCCTATCATTTTATGTAAATCATACTATATTTTTCCTCTGAAAATTATTTCTAGCCCTAACATTCACCCATATTGACAGATTTATTTTTTTACTGCATTATATCATTTTGTTGTATGAATTTAACAGTTTATCATTTCTAATGTTAATGTACCCTCTATTTGTTTTCAAGTATTATGCCTTTAAAAAGTGTTGTTATGAACTTTCTTATACATGGCTTCTGGTGCACAGGTTAAAGAGTCTTTCTAGGGTATATACCTCAGGTGGACCAGTTGGGATATATGTGGGTTCAGCTTTATTATAAAGGTACAAATGCTCTACAAGACGATTTACCAATTGATATTACCAATAACAATGAATAAAAGTATTCATTGGTCCATATCCTCTCCAGTGTTTGATATTACCAGATTATAACATTTGATGGTATGTATGGTATATGTCATTGTTATGCATCTTTTCATATATTTAGCAGCCAATTATATTCTGTATAATGCCTGTTAATGTGTTTTGCCCATTTTTCTATTGTGCTTTTAATTCAAAAATCAATTGATTTATTGCAGTTTTTTTATATACTCTTGAAAGAAATGCTTGGGTTATATGAATTGTACATATAGGACTCCTTGAGGATTTGTTGAAAGGCGGGTCTTGTGAATTCCCACAGTTTTTGTTTGTCTGGGAAAGATACTATTTCTCCTTCATTCCTGAAGGATAGCTTTGCTGGATATAGTATTCTTGGTTGGCAGTTATTTTCTTTTAGCACTTTAAATATATCATCCCACCCTCTCCTGGCCTGTAGTGTTTCTTTTGGAAAGTCCGCTGTTAGCCTGATGGAGATTTCCTTATAGGTGACTGGTCGCTTTTTTCTTGCTGGTTTTAGAATTCTTTGTTTGTCTTTTACTTTTGGCAATTTGACTATAATGTGTCTCAGGGAGGTCCTTTTTGTGTTGAATCTGTTTGGGGATCTTTGAACTTCTTGGATCTGGGAAATAGCTTCTTGGATCTGGAAATGTCTCTCCCAGTACTTGGGAAGTTTTTGGCTATTATTTCATTAAATTAGGTTTTCAATGCTTTTTCCTTTCTCTTCCCCTCCTGGCACACCCATATGGGCGTGGATGTTTATATGATTAAGGTCAGATAGATCTCTTAGGCTTTTTTCATTTTTTAAAATTTCTTTTTCTTTTTTTTGGTCCAACTGTTAATTTTTTTAAAAAAGCTTGTCTATTTCAGAAATTTTCCTCCTTTTGTTCTAGCCTGCTGCTTATGCTCTTGGTTGTATTTTTTATTTCATTGAACGAATCCTTCAGTTCCAGAATTTCTGCTTGGTTCTTTTTTTATTGTTTCTGTCTCTTTGTTGAATTTCCCATAAATATCCTGGATCGTTCTTTTGACTTCATTGTGATTTCTATCGACTTTTTCTTGCATCATGTTGAGTTTCCTTAATATTGCCATTTGGGATTCCTCTTCAGGTGTTTCGCCAGTTTCCTGTTGTTTGGGGTCTGGTATTGTAAATTGTAGTTTTCTTTTGAGGGAGTCATGTTTCGCTGTTTTTTTCATGCGTCTCATTTCTGGGTCGATGTCTAGTGGTGTAGTCACTTTTAATTTTTGGAGTGGTTTTTGAGGGGAGAGACTCTTACCTGTAGAAGTATTCTATATTGATAGTTGGGTTGGTCATTGTAGATTTGATTCTGGGTGAGCACAGTAGTAAGTGCTGGCTCATTCTCCACACCTTTGCTGCTGGTGTGGGCAGGCTGCTGTGTTAGGGGGGACTCGGAGCTTCCAGGGAAAGTGGGTGTGGATCTAGGTGACTTGCATTCCCCCCCAAGCCCT